GGGTTTTAGGGGAAGAAGGGGGTTACATTTAGGGTTTAGGGGTTTAGGGGTTTAGAGTTCAGGGTTTCTGCCTTAGACATCTGAGCTATAATCAGAACAGGGTTTAGGGATAAGGGTTTAGGGTTATATAGGGATCATGGAAAAGAAAATGGAAACTACTATTTCGGGTTTTGGGTTTTGTGGGTTTGGGTTTAGGGTTTTGGGGGGTTGGGTTTAGAATTTGGGGGGTTTGGGTTTAGGGTCTAGGTGTCTAAACTCCTTAAAGGGGGCTAGATTATGTAGGCCTCAGGGTTTACGTTTCGGGTTCATGCGGTCTTGCGTGGCTAAGTCACCACCCCCAATCCACACAAAGCTAAGGTTCAGGGTTCAGGGTTTAGGGGTCTAGACTCCTTAAAGGGAGTTATATAGGGGAGTTTTATATAATATAATGTAGGGTTTAGGGTTTAGGGTTTAGGGTAGTTATAGGGATTAGGGCTTTATGAGCTATAGTAAAAACTCCTTAAAGGGGGTAATGTAGGGGATTAGGTAGGGTTCAGGGTTCAGGGTTTAGGGGTCTAGACTCCTTAAAAAGGAGTTATATAGGGGATTATATAGGTTTCAGGGTTTAGGGTTTAGGGGTCTAACCAACTTAAAGGGGCTTGTATAGGGGATTAGACAGAGGAATGCTATAGGGACTATGAAGGGGGATACCAGGAGTTTAGACTATAGCTCACATATTGCATGTATTTTCGTGTTTAGGGTTCAGGGTTTAGGGTCTTGGTGGGCATATAGGGCTATTTACGGGTTAAAAAGGCATACTAGAACAGAACGTGGAAGCAGCTATTCATGTTTTCGATTTCCATAAGCTGGAGATTCTTTTTTGGCGATCCTAGAATAAGGATTGTTGTATGTTGGGTCTATATTACGGCCCGCTCGTTTTTGGAAACTATGCCTGGAGGCGTACCTAGAACGAGTATTATAGCATTTTGGGATCTATATTGGGGCCCTGAAGTTAGTGGAAGCTACCATATGTGCAGTTTGCAGCCAAGGCAATGTTAAAAATCGTTCCCTTACACCTTACGGTCCTTCTACAACTAAGTAGTGCTAGCGTTGTATACCCCACAACCCTGCAATGTCAAAGATTTCCCTTACAGTCCCTATGCAGCTACAGCATTATGTACCCCCAAAGCCACATTCCAAGGTATAACCCGACTGTCTCTTAGGCACGGGCCCCCAAAGCGACCGCGAGGGCGAAGTCCCCCGAGGGGTGAGGCGGGCATAGGATCTAGGGTTTAGGGTGTCAAGAGTCTCAGTCCCATGTGTTTCTGTGGCGTCACATCTAAGGGTTTCCAACGCCCCAACATAGATCCAAAATAAATCTCAAAAGCTGACAGGGGCCCCTGATTTTAGAACACACGTACGTAGGATTCATTCCTTCCGTCGAAGCACCTCATGGCAAAATCGTGTGCTGAACAGACGGCCTACGGTCGGATCGTGAATTGGTACCCGGCAAAGAACTACGGGCCTGGGACCTACGAGTGCTGAATTGACCACTACAGGGTTGATGATGGGGTTATTAGGGAATATATTAGGGTTCTAAAGGGATGGTAGAAAGGAAAATGAAAACTGCATTTTGATGCATGTGATGGTCCGGGTCCATATTTACGGGGACTTCATGTCAATGAGGGCACACTTTGGTGGCTGCTTCCTTTTAAGCCATAGTTCGCAAGGTTCATCCAGTCCGGCATCTCCGCGAAGGACATGCGCAAACTTGCACCTTACTAACTCCTAAACCTTAGGCCCTAGACCCCAAACCCTAAACCCTAGACTCTAAACCCTAAACTCTAGACCCCAAACCCTAGACCCCAGACCCTAAACCCTACACCCTAAGCCATAGTCTCCTTTGGCAATCACACGTGCCAGCCGGAATTGGCTTACTGGCTTCACTGGCTTGAAAGTACCTACCCCTTGCTTTGACAGCTGAGCCGGGCTGGGCTTCGAAATGTATATCCTATAGTCTAAACTCCTTAAAAGGGTTCATACAGGGGATTATCTAGGGGAGTATTACAGGGGTTATTAAGGGTGATACTAGGAGTGTAGACTACAGCTCATATGACCTACTATTTGTAGAAGCATGAGAAAGGAACGCTATCAGTGGATATAGGGTCCCTCTGGTAGTTTAGTATAGTGCATAATATAGTGCCTCATGAGGAGCCCATGTTCATTAAATCGGGTAGGAAAGATAGACTGTAGTTCATATAGGGGGTTACATCGGGATACATGCAGATATTACCCCTACAATGTGGGATAGATTCCTGCCAGGATGTCTTCTTTCCTCGGCAGGCCCTGCCACATGACCTCCAGGAGCTTGATGGTGGGTTTCGCCTTAAACCCTAGACCCGGTGGCAAGGTCTAAACTCTACACCCTAATGTAGACCCCTTATTTCATAAACCTCCTCCCCTTAATAGGGATTATGATAGGGATCCTAATGTTAAGGCCCNNACACCCTAAACCCTAAATCCATGGGGTACCTGAATGGTCTTCCCGAGCCACTTGTGCTACAATTGCCCCTTCTGGTTCCTTTGTGCTAGGCGTCCGGAAAGCTGATGCGGGTCGCTGGAAAACATTATCATTATTGTAAGGATTACTTAGGAGGACCCCCGACCCTGTA